ATACAATTTTTTTCATCGATAGTCTGTAATTGGAATCATAACTCTTATTTATTCAAATTGTATTAATATGTAAAGACCAAGTGTAACATATATCATCATTAAATTTTATCTTATAAAACCAGTGGAACTTCAAAATCGTTAAAATTCATGGCTCCCGCCGCATTGCTCGGGTACACAATTAGTAATAATAATATTTTTAAAAGTATATATGATATTAGAATAGGTTACAATTTTGGTCCATGTGATAAAAGACAAAAGAAAGAGGCTAAAAGATGAAAATACCCTCTGACTTAACTGGATTAAAAGGAATCTTTTTTATTCTATTAGAGAGAGGGACTTGAAGCGTGCGTTTTTGTATACCACAAGTACCGGGAGTGTAATAAACGCGTTTTAGGGACCTTAGTCAAATAAACTGCAAACAACAGGGACCAAGAATGTAATTTACTCTTTTTTTTAAAATCCAAACACCCCCGGAATCGGATGAGCAGCAGCCGAGCAGCAGCCTACCAGTCTAACACGCACACAAGGATTGACTCCAGTAGATTCAATCCGATCTCCTTAAATACGTCGCGCTTGATCTCGGTAACTTGGATCTCCTCATCGTCGAAATCCGTAAGAATCTTTCAGCTAATTCATCATGTATAAAGATGTTCATAATTTTGCTATACTTTCTATTGTTGACTTGTGTGATTGATTATATGTTATGGAAGTTTCATGTAAATCCTAAAATTTCTAGCATTTTCCCTTTCTGATGTCACTTGATTTCCTGTAGTTAATTTCATACCCTCCGATTAGATGTTAATTGTTTCATCAAGGTCCGTATTTAAGATTAGTTTCAATTTAACTTGAATTGTTTAGTCAAAATCAAATCGGGAATTTATCCAAACTTTGCTAAGTCAGCCGTAGCAAGTTTTTGTTTCTACAAAATTAGCGTGTTTCCATTTTGCATAGTTTCAGAGATACAGTTGAAAATGGCAACAAATTTGATTTTAGTAAGTCCCATCAAAATTGAAACAATACCTTTATGGGCAAAGTTTCAAGCCAAAATTGCTAATTTGCTTACAGTGAGTTACAGCTAACTGGTGATTTTAATTTTGATGAGCAAAATGCATCTATTTTGTAATTTGTTACTTGGGGGGGGGGGGGGGGGGGGTTATATTTTAAGAGTGGCCTAATAAACTTCTTTAGGCTTTACTATCCTTGGGATCATTAAGTGGATGGTGCAACTTATGTGTTGTTAGAACCAAAGGTAAATCAGAGGATTCATATATGCTTATATGTGTATGAAACATCACACAGCAACCAAGAAAAAACAACATATATGCTTATATGGGTAAATAAATAATGCTTTAGTAGGCTTTAGTATCTTTGCGATCATTAAGTGAATGCAATTATGTGTTGGTAGAACCAAAGGCAAATCAGAGGATTCATATATGCTTATATGTGTACAAAACATCACACAGCAACCAGGAAAACAACATATAGATCAAATAGGTTAGGGAGGAAATTCACTAACTTCATTGCAGATGCCTTTGACAAAGAATATCAAACAGATAGAGGCCTGCAGATTGTAGGGCCCTAAGAGAGAAATACATCCCCACTCGTGCCATAATTTACGGATGTCTATCTTGAGGAGTCAACTATCAATTCAAGTTTTACATGAAACTTGAATATGTCAAATTGAATTAATATTTCCATATAAGTATTTAGAAGGAAGGATACGGAAAAATCTGGAGGGAAAAGTGGGTGAATAAACAAGGAACATCTTGGTATATATACATTTCTAATTGTAACACCCTAGTTTTTCTTATTTGCTAAATCTCAATGTTTAAGCCTTAAATACAAGATTTTGTAAGCAAATTAAGTACTCTTAAAAGAGTCCAACAGCTGTAGCATTTATTAAACTATCATATTTATAACACAAGTAGCTTACAAAGCTACTTATAAACAAATAACATGAGCCACAAAAATCTTATGACAAAGCAAGCCTACCCTTTATGACAAAGCAAGCTAGTTATGAGTTGTCTAGGCTAGAAGCATGTGTTGGAAAAATTCATGATGACAAGCAAGAGCTAGATGCATGACAAATAAAAGCTAGAAGCATGAGGTGTCAAGATTCTTTTATTTTAAGCATGAGGTGTCAAGATTCTCTTATCCTCAAAAATGAGGTGTTAAACTATCATAAGAGTACAATGTTGGGAGCAAGAAGAATAAGTAGCTAATGCAATGAATTTACCTATAAATAGTGATTGAAGTGTTACCATTAGTTCCATACCAAAAATAAGAAATCTCTCTCTCTTTATACCTAATCAAGCTTGGAGATAGGAATTGGAAAAACTAGGCATAATCAAGGTGAGTACATTATGAGATTTACTGGGATACATACATGCTATATATATAAATGTTTTATGCATGAAAGAGTATTGCCATATATGATCATGTGGCAAAGTACACCTATTATGTCATGATGCGCATGTGGTATATGAAAGTTTTTATGCATTTAAGTAAAACCATTTAAATATCCAACGTATGGAACATAGAAAGAAGGTACGTCTTGCAAACAGACCTTATTGGGCAGCCCTTATGTGGACCCGAGGTTAAAGAACCTATGAGAAGTTGGTTTACTTAACATGTAACCATGAGATCTCAAAGAAATATTTTTATACATGAAACTTTATAAGAATTATTTTAACTATTTGGAAAGAATGTTTTATCATGAAACCATAACTACCCACTAAGATTTTAGTTTACGTATTCATGTATGTATCTCAGGAATCAAGGAGTAGGAACAAGCTGAAGTGTTGCTATTCTAAGATGTTAGAATATTATAATTTATAAGTTGTAAGTTTCTGCTGCTGTAATAACTCTATTATAATGAAATAAAAGTTTAAGATATGAAGTTTCTTTCATCCACTTGTACTAAGGGCAAACGACGATACCCTCGGGAATGGAATGTTACACTAATCAACTGCCAAGTTAACTGATTTTGACGGTTTTCTGGTAATATCTGAAATAAATAAAGAATTAATATAATCTCGGACTCAAAGAAGAGTCCAACGGCCCATGGCCCAATCTTTGACAATTTATGTACGTAAATACTAAGCCCAAACCTTCAATGACTTCCCATACTTCAACGTTGACCCATTTTGTTAAATGAAGAACGAGTTATACAAACTCAATCTTGTTTCACTTTTCTTTCAATGTGTGATCAAATCCCATTACATGACAAACTCCAACATGTGCAACACACATGCTTGATTATGAGGTTATGAGGACATGAAGAGGGCACTGAAAGTTTGCTTTTTTGGTCAAAGTGTCTAAAGTTAAATCTCATTTGGGGAATCTTAACATTTCAAGCAAGATAATAAACTTTTTATTTATTTTAGTTTATCTATTTGAACTTTGAACAATATACCCTAAAGATATGGCATTAATGATCTGTGAGAAAAATGATTAGTTAGCAGACCATGTGTAGAAATGTAATAGATCCGACTATGGTGGGCTGAGAACAGAAGAATCAGAAGACAAAGTATAAGAAATTATCGAGGGAAAATGGTTGTTATATTGGTAATATGAGTAATAAAGTTGTAAGGCTTTCGAGTGGCCAAACTCACTCCCAAGTTACACTGATGAAACAAATTTCTGGATACCTCATACTCCTCTCCTAAAATCTTATCGATACTTCTGTCTCTCACTCCTCAACAAACTTCTGACATATTGCGGACACACAACCATGACATCATAACAAAATGGAAGTGTTTTACAGAGTTTATCCTTGTATTTGCGCCTAGAATAAGTACACTTCACTTGTGGCCTTAGACAGTTGACTTGCTCTGTTACATTACTTGCTGCCCACATATTCACCTTGTCCTGAAGGTGAAAAGCAGGAAATTGATGCTTGAAAATCTCAAAATCTTCCAAAGTCGCTTCCTGTGAAGGTACTTATGCCTTAATGGGGATTTCCAACTCTGTGTGTCCAGGGTCCCGAGGTCTCACACCTAAGAAGGCTTTCGATGTGACTCTTGAGTTTAGCAGGAATCTGGGTAGGAATCAGAGCAATGGTGCTCAATGGGCCTTTGACACGTTTTAACTGAGAAACGTGAAAGACGAGGTGAATTTTTGCTTAAGGGGGAAGCTTAAGCTTGTAAGCAACCTTACCCACCTTTTGAACAACCTTATAGGCCCCATAGAATAGAGAGGACAACTTCTCCAACGTTTGATTAAAGACTATTGGCGATAAGGTTGTAACTTCAAATAAACCAAATCACTCACCTCAAAGTTTGCATCCGACCTCTTAAAATCAACCCACTACTTTTGCTTATGTTGAGCACGGAAGAGGTTCATGCGCAGCTCATCAAGGATGGCATCTTGTAGTTGGAGCTACTCTTCTAAGGAGTCTACGGGTGGTTGACCCTTCTCACCCTTATCAAAGGTGGAGGGTCCCTTTCATAAAGTGATAGAGCCTTGAATGGTGAAATCAAGGTAGAGACGTGAGGGAACATGCTGTATGAACTGCCAAGGGTGTAGGAGGGTATCATTGGAGGCGGCCGAGGGGGACATATTGATAGAGCTGTGGTAGGTTGTGTTGTACCAAAATTCCGCGAAGTAGAGTAATGTACCCATTTAGTTGGCTCATCTTACAAAGCATCATAAATAAGACTTAAGGCTGACCACTTTGGTTTGCCCATCCGATTGAGGATGGTATGCACTTGAGACCAAAAGGCGGGTCCCTAGACGAGCAAAAAGTTTCTTTCCAAAGTGGCTCACAAGAATAGGATCGCTATCAAAGACAATGGACTTTGGAAGGCCATGTAGCCGGTAATATGAATGAAGAACAGTTGAGCAAGGGATGCAGTCATGATTTTGGGTGGAAGTGGCACAGAATATGCAAATGTTGATAGTCTATCAACGATAACCCAAATGGGAGTTTTGACCTGTGACGCCGGAAGGTGCGTATTAAAATCCATTGAGATGTCGTCCCAGACCTTATCGGGAATCGAAATGGTTGCAATAGGCCATGAAGTTTATTTGTTGGATATTTAACCTATTGACACGTAGAACATGTTAGGATAAAATCATGTACCGGTTGCTTCAATCCTGGCCAATAAAAAGAAGCAGAAAGGCGTGACAATGTTGCCTGTACGCCCAAATGGCCATCCGGCTGGGGAGGAGTGAAGTTCTTCCCGGAGTCGTTGGCGTAATGTAGGAATGGCCGAAATGAGCAGACACCGGCGGACATAGATAAGCCCATCATGGAGATGATGGTCCGAAAAACAGGTCTGATTAGTGGCGATATCACGAACCATGGTTAACCAACATGGTCCGTGGTGAAATAATCGTGAAGTGTCGATAACCGGGAAAAGTGGATGTCGAAAAGCTGAGGAGTGGCGGCTCATCATTCAAATCAAGGCATCGGCCACCTTGTTCATGCGACCAGGTTTGTAGATCACATCAAACTTGTAGTCAAGATGCTTGGTTGCCCACTTATATTGATCGGGGGTTTGAACCACTAGGTTAAGAAGATGGCGTAGCCTGCGGTTCGTAAAAGTACGGAATCGACGAACAAAAAGATATTGACGCCATTTTTTACCGCTTGGGTAATTGCATATAATTCTCGGATGTAAGTCGATGCCAATTGCATGCGTAGACATTGATTTTTGCTGAAAAAGCAACTAGGTGATCAGCTTGAGATAAAACGGCACAAAGGCCGCCATGCCGGACCTGAAGCATCAGTGGTGACTTTGAAGTCCTTAGTGAAATCAGGGAGGGGAGGGTGAGGACATGTAGTGACGTCATGGCCTGTTTTAGAGCATGAAACGCATCTGCCGCAGTGGGGGTCCAAATGAATGGCTTATGCTGCAACAAATCAGTAAGTGGAGAAGCAATTGTGGCATAATTGAGAATGAACTGTCTATAGTATGCGGTGAGATTCAAAAGTCCGCGAAGTTGAGTAGCCGAGGTAGGTGGTTGCCAATTCAAAGTCGAGTCGATATTGTCGGTATCGCTGCATCACCGGCCGCCAAAATCATGTGGCCCAAGTAATGGACGCGTTCCACTATGAAAGTACACTTTGTGAGCTTGGGAAAATATCAGTGTGTGGAAAGGAGATTGAAGACACACTCAAGGTGTTGGAGGTGCGTGGCTCGGGATGGGCTATAAACTAGTATGTCGTAAAAAAATGACTACTTCACTAAGAGAAGCTCGAAAAGGTCATTTATGGCTGCTTGAAACGTGGATGGGGTATTGGTGAGACTGAAAGGCATCACCACGGATTCATACTGGTTGTCTACGGTATGAAAGGCGGTTTTGTGTATGTTAGCGTTGGCTACCCGGATTTGGTGGTAGCCGACTCGTGAAATTCGTCTAAAATTTCGTCAATGGTAGGAATTAGAAATCGATCACGGATCATGATGGGATTTGGAGCTCAGTAATCGTTGCAAAGGCGCCAAGTCCTGTCTTTCTTGCTAACTAGAAGAACCGGAGAGGAATACGGGTTTTGGCTTGGCCGGTTGACTCCATCTTTGAGCATTTTGCAAATGAAATATGGTATAATGGCGTTTTGGTAACGTACGTATCTGTATGGACGTACATTGACCGATTCGGAGAGCAGTTTTAAAGGAATATGGTGGTCATGGCACCAAGGTGGGGAATGGTATCTGGTGGCTGAAAAAGGCAGTTGTAACGGTCCAACAAGGCTTGAACATATGGGTCGGTGGTGTGTAGTGATTCTGGCGGCGGCTGTGGGGACGAGGGTTTGTGATTGAAAAGTAAAGTATGCATGGAGGCGATAGCATCTTGACGGAGTAATTGTGAAATGGTGCCCGGAGAAGCCAAGGTGGAAAGGGGTTTGTCTTCGAAAATAACGGTGTTGGGGACATGATGAAAGGTGAGGTGGGGGATAGACTATAGAGAAGTCGGCAACAATGGGGCCCAAGGAACTAGGCCAAGACATGCCGAGCACAACATCGGGTTTCGATTGGGAGGACAAAGAGAGAGATGGAAAAGGTTACCGGAAAAGGACACTGGAACTTTGGACCAATGACCATCTTAATGGAGGAGGGAACCATTTCCAACCGTAACTAGGAAGGAGGTGATAGTGTAATTGGTAGGTATAGGTGGTTGGCGATACGTGGTTGCACAATGTTATGCGTGCTTCCAGAATCGACTAGGATGGTGAGTGGTTGGCTGGTGATAAGGCCTCGAACCCACAGTGATTTCAAGGAGGAGAGACCAAGAAACACGGCCGGGAAAGGGCGAGAAAATGCTTGTCGGGTGGGTTGGTGGACAGAAGTGGAGGGGAATAGGTATTCGCGGCAAGGGGAAGTGACGCGGTAGCGGCAACGGCGGGGGAGGCATCGTGAATGTCGGGGTAGGGAAATTGAGGAGGGTTGCATCGATGTCTCGTCTGAAATTTTTTGGGGCAACGGTAACACAAACCTGCTTCCGAACGTTGAGAAATTTCATTCGGTGAGAGACGTTTAGGGGTAGGTTAGTAGTTGGACGTGATGGAGCTGTTAACATGGGTGGTGTAGTTTGGGGTGGTAGCGGTTGAGAAGAAGAGACGGATGGGGTTGGGCGAGTGGAGGTAGAGCGGAAACGGGAATCGGCTAATTTGTCCTCGATTAGTTCAGTGAGGCCAATGGCTTGATGAATGGAACGGGGATGGTGGACGGATAATTCTTGTTGGATGTCGCGCCGTATTCCGGAGATAAAGCAATTGAGGAACACCTCTTGGAAGAGACCAACCACAAAGTTACTTGACCTTTCGAACTCCATTACATAGACGGCGGCGGTGGAGGCTTGGCATTATTAATAAAGGGCAACTTTGTGGTTTCGTAGGAAGACGGGCCGAATCAGAGTTCCAATGCCTAGGTGAAGTTGTCCCAAGTGCTAAGGAGACGGTATTTATGGAGATATTTGTACGAGCTCAGTGCGTCACCTTTGAGGTAGAAAGAGGCAATGTGGAGGTGCTTGCCGGTGGCGATGTTGTAGGACTGGAAATACTGATCAGCCAGGAAAAGCAATCGAGGGTTCGGTACCATCGAAGGACGGCAAATGGATCTTGGGAGGGCATATGTCCAGGTTGTGTTTGGGCGTTGGTGGCATGAAACCGTAGTCAGTAAGAGTCGAGGAGGATGGGCGGTCGAGGTTATTCACTTTGGGGTTGTCGAGTTTGGTGGTGACGGAAGTCAGGGCGGCGGTAAGGGCTTCCAAGGTTTTGGTAGTACTGGATTGGTCGGATAGAAGTTTGGCAATGTTTTCAGTTTGTTTGGCTATGTGATCAGCCATGGTAGCCAAGGATTCATCAATGGAAGGACGGTCGTCTTGAGGCATGAGGAAGCAATGAAAGCACAATTTGTTATCAACCAATTCGAGATGGTTAGTCTCCAAAGAAGCAAGGATTAAGGGAACGATGTGCAACAATTTTCTCATATTCTCTATTTGAACCAAGCAACATTTAAATACCAACATGGATCCTACTCTACTACTGCCACTAGCCCACGATCCTAAATACTATCCATTGATTCCTTCTATTTCTCCATGACTCCATTAACAACTCGTTGACCCAGACAACTTTAAAGAAACATAATTAATAAAACTAATTATAATAAAAAAGAAATGCATTGGTTGCTTGGCTTGGACTCGATCAACTCCTGAAACGGATGGGAAGGTTGGCGTTCCTTCTGCACCTTCTATTGTGGTTGGTATCAGGGGCCAAGGATCTTGTGCTTTGATACTACTGTAATAGATCTGCCTATGGTGGGCTGAGAACAGAAGAATCAGGAGACAAAGTATAAGAAGGTATCGAGGGAAAATGGTTGTTGTATTGGTATCATGAGTATAAAGTTGTGAGGCTTTCGAGTGGCCAAACTCACTCCTGAATTACAATGACGAAACAGTTTTCTGGATACCTCATACTCCCCTCCCAAAATCTTATATATGCTTCTCTCTCTCACTCAACAAACTTCTGACATATTCCAGACACACTACCTTGACATCATAACAAAATCAAAGTGTTTACCCAATTTACCCTTGTATTTGTGTCTAGAATAAGTAAACTTCACTTGTGGCCTTGGACAATTGACTTGTTCTGTTACAAGAAACTAACATCATAATCTTAATCCTGCTAAATGATTATTGATCTTCCGTATGTGGACTACAGATGCTATTGTATTTAATGATGTCAATCCTTGTAGCTCCAAGCTGTTTCAAGTCAAACCTCAAAGACAAAGAATGTGAAGAGATTTTGCACTCTGGTTTATCACCGTCTGGTTTTTTTTTGGGGGGGGGGGAGACTGTGTAAGTATGTGATTGAAATGAAGTGTTAGAAGTTTTCTTCAAGTATTTATGTTCTATTATTGGGTTGACCTTACGTATTGCTTCTCTTAGTTATTGGGCTCACCTTCCATAGTATAGTTAGTTAGCAACCACTTGAAGCATATCTATTTGTTACTAAAGAAGCTGCTATGCCCACATGGTCAATAGCTGAACTGCGTTTGGCCTGTTTTTTGTGGTTTTGGGTCTAAAATATTTAGTCAACATCTAGTTGGATCACCTGCCCTAATAGTATGCATATATAGAATTAAAGAAAAATACGGTGTAAAAATATGGGAGGATTTGCCAAATCTCAGTTTGTCCCTAGTCTAGCACAATGGTTTTGAGAAGTTCGGTCACCTATTTTTTGCAGGCAAAAGTAAATCATGGATATTAGTAAGTTCAATCGTGACGAGCTAACACTGCTGGGATCTGGTGCTTGCACTATGGTTGCACTGCATTTCTCATCTCAACTCGTTTCACAACATCTTTATTACTGGAAAAACCCAAAGGAACAAAAGGCCATAATAATGATCGCTCTTATGGCTCCTGTTTATGCCATGAACTCTTTTGTGGGTGTGCTGGATATCAAGGGAAGCAAACCAATTTTCATGCTGTTGGATTCGATTAAAGAATGCTATGAGGCTTTGGTATGTGATTTTTGTATCTTATTTGTTTCATTTGATCCTTTAACTTTTACCTTGACAATTATTGGATTTTCACTTTCAGGTCATTGCTAAGTTTCTGGATCTACTGTATGGCTACTTGAATATATCCATTAGCGAAGATATAGTTCCTGATGAAATGAAGGGAAGGGAGATTCACCATACGTTTCCAATGACTCTTTTCCAGGTGAGTTCATGTTATTTTCTATAAATTTTATTATTTAGATGTTGAAATTGGTAAAATGATATGCTCTTGTCACTGTTTCTTGTTGCTTTAGATTGCCTGATTCTGTCTTCATTTCTGAAGCATGAACCTTTTTTCTTTCCTTTTGCAGCATAAGCCACATGTTTGCCCTATTTAGCCATTTGCTATTGCCTTTGTAAAGAAAATAAGTTACAACTTCTCCATGTTTAGTCAAATGCATAATCTTTTAATCTTGGAGATACATTTAACTTTTGAGGTTGAATCTATTACTTCCACATTCAAAACTGATGATATTTTGACAAATTTAGCGCCAACATTCTCCCTGATTTGTAGTGTTCTTTTATGAAGTTTAAGGAACCTGTCAAAATTCATATAATTTAAAGAAGAGTAATCAACTTTTGGCTTTTTGTTGCAAAACTCAAAGTCGTTCTTGGGGAATTTCCAAAAAGAAAACCAACATAGTTTGCTATAAGAGATTTTAGACTAATTGTGAAAATAAATGCAAACAAGGACCATTGTACTTGGTATCTTTTGTGCAAAATCGCTCATTCTTACAAAAAATTGGTTTCTTTGGGTGTTCCAAGGAAGATGGTTCAACGAAAAGCCAAGTATGATAAAGTCAATACTCAATAATTCATTTGAACCATCCCTAACAATCTTGAAGCTAAGGCTTAGGTGTTGTTTACCAACAAAAACTGAGTAAGCGCAGACCGGGTAGGAGTCACCACCCTCACTTACCTACTATAAGTGTCTCTTACCCGGTAAGTGTTAACCAGGCAAGAGTCACCACCTTCACTTACCGGGTAATATACTCGGTCAACGAAAAGCCATAGTAAGGTTGTTGGTAAGACCATAATCTTTGGCTGGGTAACCGCTGCTTACCCGGTAAGAGGCGGTTAATGTTTAGACAACAAGCCCTTAGTCTATTTGACCTCAAAATGACCGTTCTTTTCAGTCTGTATTGCGATTCAATGTGTAACCACCAATGTACATGTTAGATCATAAAGACGTGTCTCAGAAACTATATTTTTGCCTTTGCAGCCTCGTACTACTCATCTGAATCACCAAACACTGAAACTTCTCAAGTACTGGACTTGGCAGTTTGTGGTTACACGGCCTGTATGCTCATTTTTGATGATCGGTATGCAGTTACTTGGAATGTATCCTAGTTGGGTCAGCTGGACATTCACTGCCATTCTTAGCATTTCCTTTTACGTGGCCATGTATTCTTTAGTAGTCTTTTACCACGTTTTCGCAAAAGAATTGGCGCCACACAAGCCACTTGCCAAGTTCTTATGCGTAATTGGGACCGTCTTCTTTTGCTTTTGGCAGGTAAATTTCTTCGACAACCCTCATTGGCTAATAGTATCAGTATTTATGATTTATATCACTTGAAAATGTGCTTAGTATATGTTTATTTCTCCAATACGTGTGGGTATCATAAATAGTGAATTGTTGTTAAATTTGTTGCAAAACCATTCAAGTTCTGAAGTTGAATGATAACATTGTTGACCTTAAAAGTCAAAGTGTACATGTTCTTTTTGTAACATAGGGAGTAAAACTAATTGAAAACACAAGTAAATCTTGTTAAAAAACATGCCCAACTACAGAAAATCAGCGGGAAAAAGAAAAAAATCGAAGATGTTTCTGGGTTTGTGTAGTCCTATGTGTGAGCTTCTTTTTGATATATGACATGCTTAAAACAAAGTGCGGGTGAAAGATAAATTGATCTTTAAGTGTTGCAATTGAAGTGAGCGTCTCAGTATGAAAAACAAACAAATAATTGGTTTATATATATTTCATAGTTGGAACTCACACACAGTCCTCGCCTTTGGTAAGACTGGAACCCTGATCTCCAAGTCCAAAAAGGTGGGTTTACCAGGTACCACTGGGCCAATGGCCCTTTGGTAGTAGAGCGGTTGTTTTTGTAAAGTAAATATACTAATCAAACTTCTGAATCTGGTTGTCGGAGAAAAATTTTACATTATCAATATAGAAAAATAAACAGGAAAGACAGATGATGTGAAATGACATATAAATAAGACGATTAGATCATGTTAACGTTGGAAAAAAGGGGTTTTATGCCCAGTTTGGCCCTTAAAACAAAGTCTGCTTTCAAACACAAATTGGAAGGATGTATATGGGTTTGTGTTAGTCCTATGTGAGAGCTTTGTTTTGATACAACATGTGACTAAAACGAAGCACAGGTGAATAGAAATTGATCTTCAGAGTTGCAACTGAAGTGAATGTTTGAGAGTGGAAAAGCATTGTTCCACATAGGTGGGAAATAGTTAGTTTATAAATGATTTGAATCATAGTTGGAAGAATTAAATCACTATGACTAGAAGGCTCTCCTCATGTGGTCTGAAGCCATTTCGGTCCACATTTTGCACCCGACTTATGTATATAAATATTATATTCTACTCCTTGGACGGATGTATATAAATATTATATTCTATTCCTTGGGATAGAACTCGGGTCTCCATACATCTTACCCTTCCCAAACCCCAAGTTTTGCACCCCACGGACGTATATAAGTATTATATTCTACTCCTTGGGATAGAACTCGGGTCTCCATACATCTTACCCTTCTCAGACCCCAAGTTTTGCACCCCACGGACGTATATAAGTATTATATTCTACTCCTTGAGATAGAGCTCGGGTCTGCATACATCTTGCCCTTCCCAGACCCCATCCCCATATGAGATATGTTTTTTTTTTTTTTTTTTTGCATTTATGTATCCTTTTTTCATACAAGTTGTCAATGGTGACCCTTTTGGCTATCTATGATCTGTCATTCAGGGAGTAATGCTAGACATCCTAGTCAAAACGGGTGTTTTAAAAGCGCATCATTTCTGGCTGGACGTCGAGCATGTTCAAGAAGCGATTCAGAATGTGATGACATGCCTTGAGATGGTTGGATTTTCCGTTATTCAGCTATATGCATTTCACTTTGAACCGTATTCTGGAGATGTGCAGACGATGTTGCAGAAGGGGAAAAAGAACGAGTGATATACAATTTGCAGCGGAGTCATTTAAAACCATGACGACAAGATGTTGTAGAAAAACATGTTTTTTTTATTCATTTTGATTTTGTAGAGAATGGTAAATTAGTGTTGTATTATGTTCTCTCTTCAGCTGTTTTAACACACAGCCTTTCTATATGTCAGTGCTCTTCCTAATCCTTGGTGCTCTTTTACCATGGTGTGAATTCGATATGTATGAATAAGGGAAATTGACTCAAATAGCCATTTTACCTTACCTAGATTGGTCATCTAGCCATTCCTTTCTTGGGTTTATCCAAATGTCTCTATGTCTATAATATCCACATTCGTAATATTGGGGACCTGGCTAAAAGAGACAAAAATATCATATTCAACCCAGGTATACGATTCGAAAGTCCGCAATTGAGACGGTGTCACCTGCTAATGTGGTGGAATTTGATATTCTTTTTATTTTTTACCCAGGTCCATAATATTACGGATGTAGTGACATTTGGGTAAACCAGAGAGAGAAATGACCAAGAGACCAATTTAAATGGGTAGAATGGCTATTTGAGTCAATTTCCCTATGAATAAAAATCTTGTCCCAGATTCCCTTTCTCCTTGTCTCACAAATCATTTAATCACATGTCATCATTTTGTTTAGTATAAAGTTACAAATTCATGTTTTCTTCTCTCTTCTTTTAACAGATTTATGACATGGCTTCATGTGATTATGACCCAAAATGAAATAAGAAATTTAGGGATATCATATTCTTTTTCGTAATTAGAGATTGATTTGACCTTTTTGACGGTAGTATTTTTTTTGCGCACCTCATACTAGGCGAAGGATCATATGAGAAAGAATATTATGGTGAGAAGCGTAAAGAGATCTGAACCCTTGATCATTTTTAATCTCATGTCCATCAATGAATTGCAATTTAGAAGAGAATTGATTTGGTGTATATTGGTGTACCTCATTAGTGTTGATATTCAATTAAAATTGATCTAAGGATGAAGATATTTTCTTACATTTCTTACAATATTTCTCTTCTCATTGGAACCCAATCTTCTCGTACTAATCTCATCAGCCTTAACAGTTGGTTTGAAATTAGTTTCCAAGGCTCTATTTTCGTGTCCATAAAACAATTTTTCAAATAAGAAAGTTAATGAGAAATAGCTACTGAAGTAGGCATTATTTTACCAAGACGATTCGTTTTTATAACATTAGTGATTTTTTGTTATATTTTTATAATAATGATCGTCTATTTATAAGTGTGGTTGAAAAGGTAGATATTCATTAATAAACTAGTAACTTATAAGTTAACTAGTAAACTAGTTATCAGAAATATGGGTCCATATTCGGAAGTAATATTCCATCCTGTTGGTCCCAACCAGATATACAAGAGTTTATAGATAGAGATGGCCAAAAATGGGTCCTGGACCGGGCCTTAACCGGTTACGGCCGATCCCGATCGCGACAAAAACCGGTGATAACCGGTCCCTCCATAACCGGTCCCGGTTCCGGTGAAATACTCCATAACCGGTCAAGCTTACCGGTAACCGGTTAAGCCGTCCGGTCCCGGTTCCGGTCCCATAACCGGTTACGGCCGGTCCTTTGAATTTTTATTTTTATTTTTTTCCAATTTTTTTGGTAATTAATAAATTTATAATATGTTATTAATATCTTTAAAATATGTTATTTTTTAATATGTATTATTATAAATATGTTTTATTATAAATACGTTTTGTTATATAATATATATATATATATATATATATATATATATATATATATATACGTTTAATTTTATAAATACGTTTTGTTATATACATTTAAGAATACACTTTAATTTTATAAATACGTTTCGTCATATTAGGACTGGGAGTAAGTGCTCTCGGTATCGGTACTTGGTGGCGTGCTTAGTCCCATAGAGATTTCATTTTCTTCAAGAATTTCTTCCACCGTTTCAATCTCCGTCTCTAAAGATGTCGTGTGTTGAATCCTATCAACGCTATCCAAATGATCCTTCAAGCAAATGCAACACTCCACGGACTCCGGGCTTAGTCTTGTCCGACGTACCGAAATTATCCTACCACTAAGAGAAAAAGCAGACTCCGAAGCTACGGTACTAGCTTGGATTGTTAGTATATCACGTGCGATGCATGCCAAAATCGGGAATTGAGGTTGTTTTTGTTTCCAAAAATCTAACAAATCAATTTTTTCAAAATCTTCAACATCATTTGCGGGACAAGCGGCCATAAAGTTAGTATGCACATACATATTTAGTTCACCCAAATTGTTATCGTATCGACTTTTTTTTACTTGATTCATTTAAAACCTCGTTCATTAAATTAGTCATCAACTCTTT